GTTCGGGGGGGGTAGGTGGGGGGTGGGGGCGAAGGGAGGGGGGAGGGGCCCAGGGGGGGCCCCCTGCCAGCCCCCAGCCCTTGCCTGCTCCCCCAGCCCCGCCATGGCTGCCCCACCCATCCCAGCTCCTAGTGCTTTAAAATAAAAACCCTGGCTCATTGGGTGCTGCTGGGTTAGGGGGTGATCCCTGCTGCCCCCCACTTCCCCATGCTGCATGGGCAGCTTGGAACAAGCCCCCTGACTCCCCCAGCTTCTCCCAGGGGTGCCCCACCTGGCCCAGCTCTGGCCCTTTAAGAAGAAAAACCCCAGGACTCACTGCTCTTGTAGCAGCCTCAGGGCTTCAGGGGGCTTGTGCAGAGCCCCCCATACAGCATGAAGCAGTGGGTGGCAGTGGGGATCCCCCCTCCCCACCTGGCGGCACCCTCTGATTCGGGGCTTTCTTTCCAAATGCCGGGCACTGGGGCGGGCAGGGCAGCCATTGCCATCTGGGAAAGTGGGCAGGGGATGGGCCTGGGTGATTCAGAGATTTGGCAGCAGTCGAATCTCCGAATCATATTCAGCCAAATTGTTTCGGGACAGTGATTCGAATCACTGAATTGAATCGCTGTCCCCGAAACTGGCCAAATCCAACGTGAATACTAGCTGCTTCACACAGGCCTAACTGGCATAAAATCAACACTGCTTGATTTTTTTTTCATGAGGGATAAAATAAAGAGAACTCACCCGATAAGAGGCAAAAACATGATTAAGCCAGTTGTTTTCAATCTGTGGTCCATGGAGCCCTGGGTTTCTGCAGATTATGTCTACAGATTATGTCCATGTAAATAACTATGACCAATAAAAAGTATGTGAATACCCACACTTACAATTCAAAGGGGCCCACACCACCATATGATTTTTTTTAGGGTTCTGCAATTGAAAAAAGTTTGAAAACTATGCCTATGCGAAGTGACAAGTATTCAATTCAGATTTGGATTTGGCTGATTTGGAGGGACAGTGATTCAATTCGGTGATTCAAGTCACTGTCCTGATTTGATTTGACTGATCCGGATTTGGAGATTCGGCCATAGACTATAATGGGGAAACACTAAAATACCTATAACTTTGTCATTTTTTGCATATTTGGATGAACACAGCAGGGATGTAGCCCCATCTGAGGGCATGAAGCCTGCCAAGTTTCAAGGAGATACGTGTAGGGTTTTATGTAAAAGTGTCCCTCAAACAGTTGAAAGCAAAACTCATATTACTTGTGTGTATTAAGGGGTTTAGGTTGTAGTTGTGTTGGTTTAAGGAAATCAGAAGACAAGGTTCTTTGGGTCAATCTGATATCTTTTATTAGACCAACTGTATAGTTGGAGAAATATATCTTAGGAAGCTTTCGGGTTTAAAAACCTTTCATCAGGCTGAGGAGGCATCTGCAGTTGGTATGCACGCTACTCTTCCTGGATGGAATAAATAGTAAAGAAGCCAGAGGCTGGTATGCATGCAAGAAAGCCAGTCAGTTAAAATGTAAACAGAGGCATCAGGGGGTGAGAGACAGGCTGGGGCAGGAGCAGGGAGGAGAAGGGGAATGTATCAGGTAAAAGTCCCCTCTCCCCTGGAGAGGTACCTGGGGAGTCAGATGTCAGACAGGCTATAGTGTGTCTTAAATCCAATGTCTATATTGAGTCCACAAGTTTTTGTATCAAGTAGGTTGATGAAATGAAGTTCATAAGCTTGTCTGTGAAAACACACTGAACCCCTACATTGAAGCCATGTCCTTGGTCCACGTTGGCAGCAGCTGTGTTGGAGGAAATTGGCTGGTGGTTGGAGTGCTGGCACAGGAAAGTGGATCTCCCTATTCCATGTCCCCCTGCCTCAGCCCTTCTGACTCTGTTCACCAGGATTCTCACAGGGATCGAAGGTTTTGCTGCTGCAGATGCTCCCCTTCACCCTCAGGTTACACATGCCCGCCAGCATGTGGACTGTACTGGACCACAATGGAGCCAGCTTTTTTTGATGCCCTCCTTCAGTGTTTCTCCGTCAGCCTGCATCAGTGCCTGCACCTCTGGTGAAAGCGGCTTGCCCCACCCAGGAACAGTGTGTCGTGGAAACACATGCAGCATACTTTTGGGTCAGGTCAGCAGAAGCTTTTATTCAAATTAAACTACAGCTGTAGGGGGGACTCCAAAGTGACATGGATTTCCCAAGCACTTGGAAGGGGTTCCCCCCCAAGAGCAAAATCAGGAGGCTTATATACTTTTTAACAGTCGCTTACAACTCACGTGATCATATAGTGAAACTAGCTAGAAAAGCAGCTATAAACATTACTTCATTACTTCTTTGCTGTTATCAGGATGAGAACTTTGCTGTTACCAGGATGAGACCTAGGGAGGAGACAAAGGGAGAAATAACACTCCCTGCCTGCACCTGGAAATCAGAGTTGTACATACTTTTTGTTATCTTCAAGGCTACGGTGAGCGAAGCAGTTGCAGAGGAGTTACAAAGAACAAACACTTTCCCTTATCTGTTCTACTAAAAGCCAGCAATTCTCCACAAAGCGGTTATGTCATCTTATAACTCAAATGATCAAAGTTTAAGGCATTTATTTTTTTCTGATTCCACAATACCAAATCTCTTGATTTTCAAGAGTTTGTGTCTTGATTTTTGACACAGTGGAGTTGGCAATACTGCTTCAGGCACTAGCCCTCTCACACTCACTACCCTTTGTAACAACAAGCACAAAGATAAAATCATCCCTAGGGTGTTCTGGAGGTGTTTTGAGAGGCAGAAGAAGGTCCAAAAAAGATCACCAGGCCTGCAGATGGAGAGAAAATTCCCAGCAGAGTGTCTCTTTGGAGACTGGGGAAGAAAGAAAGCAGTGTAAAGGGGAGATACTCTGAGTGGGCTGAGGTGGCTGAGAAACATGGGTATTTTATTCTCCATTTTCCATTTCCACATCATTAGGATAGTCTTGGGGGAGCACAAGCATTTCAGACTCATACCAAGCTTTATTCTTCTCTTTCATTGCTGCAATTATGGCCACCAGGGAATAGCCAAACTCAACAATGCTGCAGGGCTGCCTCTTGTTTACATACTTATAACCTGCAGCATGCATGGCCACCAGCCGGCCAGCCGTGTCAAACACTGGGGAGCCAGAAGACCCCCCAAAGAAGCTGGTGTCATAAGTGACAACATCGGGATTGTTGACCACATCATGGAAACTTCTCTGGGTGAACATGTGGATGCACTCTCGGCCCTTAGGGCCCCCAGGGCCACAATTGTTGTCATTGCACGCTTCCTTCTCACCACACTTTACACGGTGGTTGCACACCCTTCCACGCTCACATACAGGAACCACAGTACAGCCATCTATGGATTTTTCTTGCCCATCTGGGTGGCCAATGATATAAATTACACCATTAAATGGCAGTGGGTAACTTAAGCACAGAAGACCTGCTGGGAACTCACTTGGTTCTCCTTTTAGTTTCAGGACAGCAAAATCCAGATCCCTGTCAGATATTTCAAACCAAGGTGCTAGCTTCAGCCAGCTGTTTTCTGAGGGACGTCCATCCTCATAAGAGAAAGTCACCTTGGCAGAGCGACTAATTATCAATGGCCAATACTTTTCCTCCACGCCTGGGCCAGTAATGAGACTCACCACATGATGGCAGGTGAGTATATAGTTACCTTGCAAGACAAAGCATGTGGCAGAGCCCCCTTCATTGCTGTCCCACGTTATGTACCCCACTGAGTCACTCCGTACACTGAGGCATTTAAACACCCTAACGAGCGTGGAGTTCTTTGTCTCCTTCCCAAAGTTCTCTTTGTACAATTTGAACACAGCTCCACTAGATTTGCCTTTTTTAAAGGCTTCTGAAAAGAACTCATCAATCACTTCACTTTGCTTTTTTAAGTCAGGATACAGTTCAAGGACAACAGATTTGAAGTAATCATAGGTCTTCTCCGGTACCTCTTTGGGAGCCATGGAAGACTGCTCATTCCCCAAATCATTCCTTGTCTTAGCTCGTCGCTTAATTTTAACCTCCACATCAAAGCACCTGTTGGCTAGACTGTCCACAGTATAGCGACTACATATAAACTTTTTGTTCTCTACCAACCCCCACTCTTCTTGCTCCAGTAATGGCAGAAACCGGCCATCTTTGCAAAGGGCGTCCTTGATGGTCTCCCCTTCTGGAGCAAAGACACACAGATTACAGCGATCTTTGGCAAGTTGTTGGCACCGGAGAATTCTGTGGCCTTGCAAAGAGCGGGTCTCCAACTTATTGCCAGTGGGAGAGACATAAAATATGATGCATTTTTTTTCCTTGATGTCATGCTGACAGTGTCTCGTCTCACCAGCATCTGCGCCCTTTTTCACAGCATAAAATTTAATTTCAAAATGTGAATTCTTAGGCAAGCATGCAAGTGGCATGCCCAAATTAACATAGCCTTCCACCCCTTTCTTTCCCAGTAGGTGCATCTCCTTGCCTTTCTCCTTGGCAACCCAAGCACAAATGACTTCTTGAGCCATCAGGACTGAGTAGATACTCTCGTGGACTTGGCCTTTCACCATATAATCGGTGCCTTCATTACCTAAGTTGACAGTGAATTCTTGCATCTCTTCAGTGGATTTGTCACAGGGGCTCTGTTTAGTTTGGTGGTCTCTGTCACTCGAAGAAGATGTACTTCTGAGAACCCGACCAGACACAGTGGCTTCTCCCTGCTGAATTGGCTTAAAAACAAAAACAAATAAAACAAACAAAATAAACCTATTGAAAATGAAGCTGGGTAAGTGTGTACATCTGAGAAGTGTGGCTGTGTGAAACAGCAGCGTTCTGCTTCAACATCCATTTAGATGGAACAGTGTTTTGTTTTGCATTTTGTTTCATTTAGAAAGCACTGTTCTGTTCCGTTTCATCAAAATGGTTTTGCTGTTTTGCTGTTTGGCCCATAGGCTATAATGGGGAAACATGAGACAGCCTATAACTTTGTCATTTCTTGCCTGATTGAGATGAAACTCGCAGGGGTGGTAGCCCCTTTTGAGGGCATGACGTCTGCCAAGTTTCAAGGAGAATAGGTGAAGGGGTTTCTAGGAAACTGCACCTCAGGCTACTGACAAACAGGAGCCAGGGAGCAGCATCCTGTGATCTGACAGGCAGATTGGGGGCCTGCACCCCCAGGAGGAGTCTGACAGCCCTCCTTCTAAGAGCGCTTTTATATAACAACCATGACTGATTTGGGTCCCTGATGAAGTGAGGAATCCTCTTTGTTTCCAGATTTGTCCAAAATCATGAACAACACCAAAAGCATACTTAGAGTCAGTATAAATGGTTGTGGTTTGATTTTTTGCAAGAATGCAAGCACGTGTTAAAGCAATGAGTTCAGCAACTTGAGCAGAACGAGCTTGGGGTAAAGAATAGGCTTCCAAAACAGCATACTGAGTGCATACTGCATATCCCGCAACTGATTTGCCTGCATCATGTCTAAGATAGGAACCATCAACAAACAAAACAAGGTCAGAGTTCAGGATAGGAATGCCCTTGATGTCAGTTCGTCAGTTCGAGGGGTTAACAATTGAGTTGTGA